GTTTTTTACCCATTTTTGGGTGATTTTGACCCATTTTTGGGGTTTTTTTACCCATTTTTGGGGTTTTTTACCCATTTTGGGTGTTTTTTATCCATTTTTGGGTGTTTTTTACCCATTTTTGGGGTTTTTTTACCCATTTTTGGGGTTCTTGACCCATTTTTTGTGTTTTTTACCCATTTTTGGGTGATTTTGACCCATTTTTGGGGTTTTTTTACCCATTTTCGGGGTTTTTTACCCATTTTGGGTGTTTTTTACCCATTTTTGGGGTTTTTTTACCCATTTTTGGGGTTCTTGACCCATTTTTTGTGTTTTTTACCCATTTTTGGTGGTTTTGACCCATTTTTTGGTGTTTTTTACCCATTTTTGGGTGTTTTTTACCCATTTTTGGTGTTTTTTACCCATTTTTGGGTGTTTTTTACCCATTTTTGGTGTTTTTGACCCATTTTTGGGTGATTTTTACCCATTTTTGGTGTTTTTGACCCATTTTTGGGCAGTTTCAGGGCGCGTCCCCCTGGAAGGGGCTGCTCCCGGCTGAGCCCCCCCGGACTGAGAGGTGAGACCCCCAAAATTGGGGAAACCCCCCCAAAAAAATCCCCAAATTCTGCCCCAAAATCCCCCAGCCCCAAATCCCCCCCCAAAAACACCCAAAAACCCAAAAATCTCCCCAAAAATTCCCCAAAACACCCAAAATCCCCAAAAATCTCCCCAAAATGTCCCAAATTCCCCCTAAAAACCACAAAAATTTCCTCAAAAACCCCAAAATTTCAAAGAAATCCAAAAAAATCCCCCAAAATCTCAAAAAATCTCCTAAAAATCCCAAAATCCCTTAAAAATCTCCAAAAAACCCCAAAATCCCCCCAAAACTCTCAAAAATCCCCCCCAAAAATCCCCAACAAACCCCAAAAATGCCAAATAAATCCCAAAAAATCCCCAGTAAATCCCAAAAATTCCAAATAAATCCAAAAATCTCCAATAAATTCCAAATCAATCCCCAAAATTCCAAATCAATCCCAAAAAATCCCAATAAATTCCAAAAAATCCCAAAAACTCCCAAATAAATCCCAAAAATCTCCAATAAATCCCAAAAAAATCCCCCTTTAGATCCCAAAAATTCCAAATAAATACCAAAAATTCCCCAAATCCCAAAAAAATCCTCCAAAAAATCCCCAAAAATCCCCCAAAAATCCCAAAAAATCCCCAAAAATCCTCAAAAAAAAAATCCCCTAAAAATCCCCTAAAAAATCCCCAAAAATCCCCCAAAAATCCAAAAAAATCCCCAATAAATCCAAAAAAAATTCAAAAAAAATCCCAAAAAATCCCCCAATAAATCCCAAAAAAATCTCCAAAAATCCCTCAAAAATCCCCAAAAATCCCCAATAAATCCCAAAAAATCCCCAAAAATCCTCAAAAAAAATCCCCAAAAAATCCCCTAAAAAATCCCCAAAAATCCCAAAAAATCCCAAATAAATCCCAAAAAAATTCAAAAAAAATCCCCAAAAATCCCCAATAAATCCCCAAAAATCCCCAATAAATCTCCAAAAATCCCCAATAAATCCTAAAAAAATCCAAAAAAAAATCCAAAAAATCCCCCAAAAAATCCCAAAAAAATCCCCAAAAAAATCCCAAAAAATCCCCCAAAAAATTCCCCAAAAATCCCCCAAAAATCCCAAAAAATCCCCAATAAATCCAAAAAAAATTCAAAAAAAATCCTAAAAAATCCCCCAATAAATCCCAAAAAAATCTCCAAAAATCCCCCAAAAATCCCAAAAAATCCCCAATAAATCCCCAAAAAATTAAAAAACAATCCCAAAAAATCCCCCAAAAAATCCCCAAAAAATCCTAAAAAAATCCAAAAAAAATCCCAAAAAATCCCCAAAAATCCCCAAAAAATCCCCCCAAAAAATCCCCAAAAATCCCCAATAAATCCCAAAAAAATCCTAAAAAAATCCCAAAAAATCCCCCAAAAAATCCCAAAAAATCCCCAAAAAATCCCAAAAAAATCCTAAAAAAATCCCAAAAAATCCCAAAAAAATCCCAAAAAAATCCCAAAAAATCCTAAAAAAATCCAAAAAAAATCCCACAAAAAATCCCCAAAATTCCCCAAAATTCCCCAAATCCCCCCAATTTCTCCCCCAGGGCCCCCCCGGGGCAGCTCCAGCTCTACCGAGGCCCCGACCCCCCCGAACCCCGAATTTTGGCCGCCATCGACCGCAGGGACGACACTTTCTACGTGGTCTCCTTCCGAAGGGTAGGCGGGAATTCGGGAATTCCGGGAATTCCGGGAATTCGGGAATTCGGGGGGGGATTCGGGAGCTCTCGGGGAACTTCTGGGAATTTTTGGGGATTTTTTTGGATTTTGGGGGGATTTTTTAGGGATTTTTTTGGATTATTTTAGGGATTTTTAAGGGTTTTTTTAGGGATTTTTTTGGATTTTTTTTGAGATTTTTTGGGATTTTTGGGGGGATTTTTTGGGATTTTTTTTTTGAGATTTTTTGGGATTTTTGGGGGGATTTTTTTTGGATTTTTTTTGGATTTTGGGGGGATTTTTTTAGGGATTTTTTTTGGATTTTTTTTGAGATTTTTCGGATTTTTGGGGGGATTTTTTGGGATTTTTTTTGAGATTTTTGGGGATTTTTGGGGGGATTTTTTGGGATTTTTGGGGGGATTTTTTGGGATTTTTTTTTGATTTTGGGGGGATTTTTTTAGGGATTTTTTTTGGATTTTTTTTGAGATTTTTCGGATTTTTGGGGGGATTTTTTGGGATTTTTTTTGAGATTTTTTGGGATTTTTGGGGGGATTTTTTTAGGGAATTTTTAGGGATTTTTTTTATTTTTTAGGGATTTTTTTGGTTTTTTTTAGGGATTTTTTTGGGATTTTTGGGGTTTTTTTTAGGGATTTTTGGGGAATTTTTGGAGGGATTTTTTTTAGGGATATTTTTAGGGATTTTTAAGGATTTTTTTTTATTTTTTGGGGGGATTTTTTTGGGATTTTTTGGGGGATTTTTTGGGATTTCTTTAGGGAATTTTTAGGGATTTTTTTGGATTTTTTTAGGGATTTTTGGGATTTTTTTGGAGATTTTTGGGGGGATTTTTTGGGGTTTTTTAGGGATTTTTTGGGGTCTTTTGGGGTTTTTTTGGGGGGGGTTTTTAGGGATATTTTGAGGGTTTTTTAGAGATTTTTTGGGATTTTTTTTGAGATTTTTGGGGGGATTTTTTGGGTTTTTTTAGGGATTCTTTTGAGGTTTTTTGGGATTTTTTGGGGTTTTTTTAGGAATATTTTGAGATTTTTTGGGGGATTTTTGGGGAAATTTTGGTGCTTTCTTAGGGATTTTTTTGGGATTTTTTAGGGGACATTTTAGAGATTTTTTTAAAAGGATTCTTTTTATTTTTTGGAGATTTTTGGGGCGTTTTTTAGGGATTTTTTGAGATTTTTTTTTACGGATTTTTAGGGATACTTTTGGGGGATTTTTTGCAGCTTTTTTGGGAATTTTTGGGGGGATTTTTTTTTGGTTTTTTTAAGGAGTTTTTGGGGTATTTTGGAGGGATTTTGGGGGGATTTTTTTGGGACTTTTTAGCGTTTTTTAGGGATTTTTTTGGATATTTCTGAGATTTAGGAAGGGATTTTTTGGGAATTTTTAGGAGGATTGGGGGGATTTTTTGGGAGATTTTTTTGGGATTTTTTAGGGGTTTTGGGGAGGATTTTTTTGAGATTTTTGGTGAGAGTTTTTAGGATATTTTAGGGATATTTTGGTGATATTTTTGGGGACATATCAAGGGATTTTTGATCGATTTTTATGGCATTTTTTGCAGATTTTTGGGGATATTTTTAAGATTTTTTAAAGAGATTTTTAGGATTTTTTAAAGGGATTTTTAGGGAATTTTGGGGGGGATTTTCATGGATTTTGGGAGGATTTTAATTTTTTTTTTTTTTACAGGGATTTTTACCTTTTTTGGACGATTTTAGAGGAATTTTGGGGGGAATTTTTAGGGTTGATTTGGGACGTCCCTGAGCAGATTTTGGGGATAATTTGGGAATTTTTTTGGCTCCAGGATCATCTCCTGCTCCCGGCCCGGAGCCACAACAAAACCTCGCGACCCAAAATGTCCCTGGTGATGCCGGCGGCGGCGCTCAATGGTGAGAGGGACCCCAAAAACACCCAAAATCACCCCAAAAACAGCCAAAATCACCCCAAAATACCCCAAAAAACACCCAAAATCACCCCAAAAACACCCAAAATCACCCCAAAACACCCCAAAAACACCCAAAATCACCCCAAAAACACCCAAAAACACCCCAAAAACACCCAAAATCACCCCCAAAACACCCGAAATCACCCCAAAACACCCCAAAAAACACCCAAAAACACCCAAAACTCCCCAAAAACTCCCCAAATCTACCCAAAACCACCCCAAAAACACCCGAAATCACCCCAAAACACCCGAAATCACCTCAAAAACACCCAAAATCACCCCAAAAACACCCAAAAACCACCCAAAACTCCCCAAAAAATCCCAAATCTACCCAAAATCTCCCCAAAAACGCCTGAAATCTACCTGAAAACACTCAAAATCACCCCAAAACCCCCCAAACCACCCAAAATCACCCCAAACCCACCCAAAATCACCCCAAAAAAGCCCGAAATCTACCTGAAAACACCCAAAAATCCCCCAAAACCACCCAAAATCACCCAAAAATCACCCAAAATCACCCCAAAACACCCGAAATCACCCCAAAACA